GTTACGTAGTTCCACCGTCGTTAATTGTTGTAACGATTTTCCCGACATATTGTTTTTATTACGCATATAATTACAAATGCGGACGTTAAACTGTTGTAAAGACGGTGGCCTGTACTTGTTATACGGGACGGATGTTCCGGGGAAAATTTGGTTGAGAACGTGAGCGTGATAAAAGAAAATTTAAAAAAAAAAAAAATTAATTATTCTAGAGAAGAAAAACGTAATTTACGCGATGTTTACAACGCTATTTGATTACGCTCGCGTAAATGATAATCAGCTGTGCAGCTGATTTCGGCGTCGCCGGTACGGTCCAAATATAACTTAATTAGGTCAATGTACTCGGCGGCGGTGAAACCTGTTTGTCTCGGCGGCGCGCGGCGGCGGTTGACAACGGTGGTGTGCGGCGGCGGCTGGTGACAGCGGCGCGCGGCGACGGCTTACGACAACGACAGCGATACCGGTTTGAATATTCTTACCCGTACGCTGCGTTGTTATCTGCGGTAATGTCGTGGGACGAAAGGTAGATGTAGCGGAGGGGTGGTGGTTGTTATATAACTACTTCCCAATCCGTATCACGGTTATGCACGGCTGCGCGGGATTCCCTGTTAGGTACTAGAAATAATTCTTACGTAACGTTCACTGGGTACCTAGCTAACCGGGCAAACACACTCCTGGCTAAATATCTTAATACTAATATAACAAGCAATTTATCCGAGGTATGTGTCAGCGTGAATAAAACTCTTACCTTTACGCTGACTGCAACTGGAGGTGATTCCTCTGCGGGGAGCCAATTTGACACGGCTACGGCGGTTGACGTTGATCGCGGTGAGCCGGTCTTGAGGTGGGTGCAAACCACGGTAACAGACCACAGTAACCAACGAACGACAAAGGAAAAAAAAAAAAGAACGACGGTCACTGGTTCTGGTATAAAAATGTTTATTTAGACGCCAAAAAAAAAGAAAAGTACAATTGCGTGCACGTAATACAAATGTCTATATGTACGGTTTTATGGTGGTGGTAATACGGCGATCGGAGGTGCTGGTGTGTGCGGTCTGACGATCGGCGTAAGAGAGATAAGTCACCGACGGCCGGTACTTGTCCAGGGCGACCTGTCTTCCCGTCCCACCTAGCCTTTGCGGCGTGGAGGGAGAGTCGACGGTGTCGCGCTGTCGTTCCCCGTGGTGGTGGTTGACAAAGTGTAGACTGGGCTGTAACGGTGCCTGTACTTTGTACTGGTCGCCGTTACGTACCGTGTCAGAATTACTACACTAACGTCGCGAACTGCCCGGATAACGTCAGGAGGGAACCCGTCCCAAAATAGATTAAATGTAATTGGCCTTTCGACATTCGGTGATACTAACATGGGCCCGAGCACGGAGGATAACGTGGCCAACGATATCTTATTATGAGCCAACAAATTACATTCGAACCTGAAGATATCCCTATACAACGATTGTATGGCTCTGTCGCGGGACCCGACTGACTGCTCAACGGACGTCGACACACACATCGGTAAAATATCAGAAAATTATCCACTAGGATCACGATTACAACCCTCGAGGGTGTTCTCCGACATACGCGACGATAACTTAAAAAACGTCGGATGTTCATGCCGAACTACGTCCGACGAGACAGTGACTTTCGCACAGGATTTTAAGCACTGCTGCACTCGTGCCAAAACCGCTCTGGACACCTTAACAAGTTCACATACCTCATCAATTAAAAAACGAGAGTGCTCCTCAATCCTGTTAAGTTCGACCAAACAGTTGAATGCACCCATGTCATATGAATTGAATTCACTCCATAGCGAATCTAGGTCAGCTGCATGTAAAGAATAAAGACCGGCCAAACTATCGTCGTTGATAACACGTAATGTCATATCGTGTATACTCCGAATGCAACAGATTGTGGAAGTACGCTTTATCGTATTACGTAACAACATCCGAGTACAACGACGTATACGGTCCTCATCTTCGGCCATAATAACGAACACAATTTTAGGCCCAATGCACACGTGCGGTTTTTAAACGCGTGGTGACGCTGCGGTACCGCGTTTGCGTTTGCGTTTACTCACAACTGGATTGAACGATGCACACGAACGCGCGGTGACGCAGCGACACCGCGCGTGAACTTGCGGGCGATCGTGTACCGCAATTCCCCGAGACAACGCCGCGGCACCGCACTCGCATTTGCGGAGCGTCATAACGTGTTTTCGTATTGTGCAGTGTACACGAGCGTCGTTTTGCCGCAAAACATAAAAAAATATGTCCGAAGATCTGGAAGAGAGTTTCGACATAGAGTTATTTATCGGGGAAATAAAAAATCATCCAGAAATTTGGAATATTGCTTCCGAAACATATCATGATCGACAGAAAAATAGAGGGTCATGGATAAAAATTGGTCGTATATTTTGAAAAGATTTCGACGAAAAAGACGAAAAGGAAAGAAATGAAATATGTAAGTATTATTTTATACCATTATTTTTTCGAAATTGCAACTTGCAAGTTTAAACTTTTAAGATTTTCTGACAAATAATATTCTAATTGTATTATTATAATACTAGTTTTGTAACCTAGTAGACTTGGGATCAGTCCCTAAAATTATGTGTAGGACAAAACTGCAGTGTGTATTACGAATTTTAAAAGTCATTTTAAATATTATTCAAATTAAACCTTCAATATTAATACTTAATCAAGCTATAGCTTCACATTTTTTTCTATTTTAATGGTTTTTTTGCCAAGCCACATATTTTTAATTATTATCTACATTCTAGACGTTTTGTGTTGTTACGTCTTATATTAGTCTGAGAGTAGCTATTTATAATTTTTATCAGCTGGACGTCTAGACGTCTAGACGGTCAGTCAGAGGGACTGACGCACACTTATTCGATATTCAATAATCGCTTTAATATGTTGTATTAAAAAAATACATCCGTGGTTTAATATATTTTGTTAATTTATTTTAGATTATGAGCGTTTTGAATAGGTAAATACAGTAAATAATATAATACAAATTATACGAATAATTAATAATAATACAAGATTTTAATATAAAATATAAAATATAATTTGTTTGCCATGGGACACTACCATTATTGGAAACAAAATAATCTGCCAACTGGTTTCTCGCTTGAATAAACTGATTAGGTGCTCTAGAGAATCTTGGGTGTTCTTAAAAGTCTTGTTGTCCAATGGATCCTTCTATATACAAAGTATTTACTAGTTTAAACTCATCCCTAGCCCTAACAAAATTATGGAGAGCACAGCATGTCTTCACTAAAAGTATTGATAAATCCAAATTTGCATTTATTGGTTTATGAAATATTTTCCATTTATTAGAAAGTATTCCAAATGCAGACTCGACATTCCTCCTAGCACGAGATAAACTGTAGTTAAAAATCCTTTTTTTGTCCGACAAATATTTACCACTGTAAGGTCTCATTATATTTTTTGATAGTGAAAACGCTTCATCACCAACGAACATGTAGGGCATATTTGGACTTACAGTTCCTGGGAGAGGTTTGCCCCTTGGAATATGTAACTCATTATTTTCAAGTTGTTCATACAAATTGCTCCTTTCGAATACAGTGCTGTCCGATTCTTTTCCAAATGCCCCATCACCTATGTAAATGAAATTGTATTTTGCGTCTACAACCGCCAATAATACAATTGAAAAAAAAATTTTTATAATTGTAGAAAAGGGATCCACTTATTCTTTCTTATTCGTACATGTTTCCCATCTATGGCACCTAAACAATTAGGAAACTGGCTGTATTTTTCAAAACCCTCTGCAATTTCTCTCCAACGATTTTCAGTAAATTCTGGAAAAGACTCTTCTCGTAAACAATCCCAAAGAGCACTGCAAACTTTTCTTAATATTTTTCCTATCGTTGTGTGTCCAAGTCTGTACGTTAAGTGTAGATCGATTTGATCACTTCCACTACCTAAGTACCTAAACAACAAATAAAAAAACAATTTGACAATCTTTGAATATTCATAAAAAGGTTAATACTTATAAAATATCAATTAAATATTGTTATTTATTATAGATTAATACAATTTTCAATACCTAATTACTTGTACATATACATGTTTTTATTGGTTATTTTAGGCACTATATTCATTCAAAAGTGGAAGAACATTAAAGATCACTATACTAAAAGTGAGAAAAAAAAATTTAAATCGGGACAAGCTGCTAATACTGGGAGACGGTACATTTATGCACAACAGTTGTCATTCTTACAAACTGCTGGTGCCACAACCAATACTCAGTCTAGCTTAGATTATGAGGCACTATTGGACCAGCAAGATTCAATGGACCACCAAGATTTCTGTTATTATAATAGTACAAGGTAATTTTACTAAAAAAATGATAAGTCTGGATTTACTACAGTGGTATACACTAATGTGTGATACCAATTATAGTTCAATAACTAATAATCTACATACTAATTGTAAAAGTGTAAAAATAACTGATTACATACATTATTCAGTTAATTTAAATCAGTTTACTATTAAATTGATTGTTAATGATAATTTTATCACCTTATCATATACCGACCTACATCGATTCAAACAATTATAACAATGTGTCGATTCACATATTGTTGAAAAGCAGAACAAGTTGGTTTCATAACAATCAACTTTCGATACAGTGTATTCATTAATTAAAGCAGACATCAGTATTCTACCATCATCTTGTCAGCGAAGTGATTTTACAAACCAATATATTCAAAATTTTGATTTTAACGTTTATGGTATACAGAACGATGATTGTTGTTTTATGTATGAAATACTTCAATTCTACAATAATTCATTATCAGATATAATTTTAAAGGAATGGCATAAAATAAATTTAGTGTAGATTTTTTTTTTTTTACTCTTTGAACTTTATATCATTAATACTTACCGTAGAATTTATATCAATATTATAGTAAAAAAAAAAAACAGAAACAGGATTAATTAATTGTTATTATATCTTTATTACATGATCATTTAAATATGAATATAAACAATTCATCATTATTTTATATAAACCTCAATTATTAATAGTTAATGTGATGATTTATATATTTAATCATTGTTTTTTTTTTTTTTTTACTAACCTTTCAGCTGACGGAATATCTTCAATCGTTTTGACTTTGTAGTGTTGAATAACCCAGTAGTCCTCACACTTTGGTGCAATAGGACACTGGAAAGTAAATGAATTATTTCCCTCCATCATTGTTAAAGAATTGCTTGCGTTATTTTCAAAACTTCTTTTCGAAATTAATTCAGCAAAAATATCCTTATATGATTCTGTGTGCTAATATATAGAATAAAGGTACATTTCAATTTAAATTTAAAAAGTGTGTGTGTGTGTGTGTAATACTGAAGAAATAATATAATATTAATTATTACCTTTCCTGCTGTCTTTGTCTTTTTGATATTGACTTTTGTTTCTACATAATTTTTTCTTTTATTACTGCTTGCTTTGACAGGTTTTGCGATAGATATACTTTCAGTTTCATGCTATTATTTAATAAAATTACAATACTATTAATATAATAATTATCAAATTATGATTTGTATTACACACACACACACACACACACATACATATTATACTGCACTACTGTACAAACATACTTACATCTTCGTTTGAAGAGCTTTCGGCAGATGCATTTGTATAGTAAGACATTGTGTTTTTTTTTTATAACTTAAATAAAAAAAATGTTAAAGATGTTAGATTTTTAATATATCAGATTTTTTTTTTAAAAAAATAATTACCTGATCAAAAGTATTTCTACGGTGTGAAGCGACAACACACACACACAGTCCTGGTGAATACAATGTAGAGATTTAACACTAACTATAATCATTGTCTGCTGGGTGATTATACACAGATAAAAAGCTATAAATAAAATATATGTAGTGTCGTCATTTTGTTTTTAGGCTTTTCACATTTGTGTTTAGAGGTCGTTTGTTCTGATGTACTATGATAAGCATTGATTTTTATCAATTTTTATTTTGCATAATTGCTAATATCTCCATACACAATATTACCAATTCTATATAAAAACATAAAGTCCTAAGTTCGGTATTAGTACAGCATCACATAACATCACGCCATCGGATCACACCACTATCCAGACAACAAAATAAAGTTTAGAGAAGTTTCAAAAACATTTGAAATATAACGTGTAATGTTCTAATAAAATTTCAACTTAGTGTTACTAATATCACTGGAATGTTATAATAATTTTGTGTCGTCCTTTTTTGTCCGCCTTTTAAATGTTACAATAAATCTATATGTTTAACATTCTCAAAATGTTACACCTATAATATATTCTAATATTAGTGTTTTTGTCTTCAGAACATTTTCATGAGTTTGTAACAATTTTATTAAAATATTATTTCAAATTTATTTATACATTTAACAGCATTACTTTAATTCTTTTATATACCTATATATACCTAATACACAGGTATATAAAAGTATTTAAGTAGTGCTGTTAAATTTATATAGTTTATACCCTATTTACTGTCTTGTAGTTTTTGTATTTAAATTTGTTTGTTAATTAATAGATTGAATGTATTAATTGTAAAATAACTTCTGTCAATAAATACAATTTAAAATGTATTGTTTTTAAGTTTTTAAACAAAAATCAAATACATTATTCAACAATAATTCAATAACAACAGAGTTACAATAATTTTAAGTTATGATTAAATAATATACTTAATTATTTTGAGTACCTTAATATAGAATGGAATGCAGATTTTAAATAAAACGAAGTTTTAATGCAGTTATAGTACTTAATATATTGTTTATTATTTATTAATTCATATTTATTAAAGAACACAATTTATAGTTTGTTTATTTTTTTCAACTGCTTTGTTCAGAAGCCTAAATTTAGAATGATTGAGCCAGTTTGCCAATGGGTCATTAAAATCTTTATTGATCTTATCCTTGTATTTTTTATGGATTCTTAATGCATCTAAAACAAATAAAACATACATAAAGTTAATACAAATAAAATGTCCACCACAAAAAGTAACATTATAATATTTATTACTAGGGCTCGTACTGGAATGCAAATACCTTTATTTATGATAATAGAAAAATAATTTTTATATCAAAATGTGTTTAATTTAATTTCTAATAATGGATGAATTTTTTTTGCTTTTTTACTTATAAATGCCTTTTTGAAATGTTTAAATTTTAATAGGTCTGACAGTTTTTATATATGTATAAACAGTACAAATCGATAAGACTTTATTGTGATGACTACACATTGTCGATGTTATGTTTAAAATTATTTGAATGTGTTATATTATTAGCAATACTTCTTGATATCGCCAAATACTTTATTGAGTGTGGCAAGTTAATTTAATATTTAAAGGTCCCCACACACTGCAGCGGTGGCGGTGAATTGCTGCAGGACACATTTCACCGCTCACCGCGGCGGTAAAGCCAAGACAATAGAATTTAACGATACCACCACTGCTGCAGGGGACCTTAAGAAAGATGAAACTACCTACAGGTACTACCTATCAATAGATTAATAAATATATGTCTGTTTAATCATTTTTCCACAAATACTTTTTTTTTTCCTCTTTCACATTTTAAGTGCTTTTATTGTTTGAACTGCCTTCATATCCAAGCTCTATTTAATACCGTAACATAACATAACTAATTTTCAAGAATATAGGGCTTGTTATGGTATCTTATAAAAATTATCTTACATTTACTCTGTATTTAAACAATTAATAATAATATAATCTTACTTTAAGGTAAATAATTAATAATTATGTTGGTCTAATTTTCAATTTATTAGTAGGTAGTGTATTTTAAAACATAAATATTTTATAAATTATGTTCAAAATACTAGACTTGAATTAAAAACTCATTAATATTATATTAATAGTACCAATTTTAAACAAGAATTTTAGCATATTATGTATTTTGGGGTGTAGCTAGCTTATTTATATCATGAACCTAATAAATAAAGTCAATTTTAAACTATGATAATAACTACAGGCTACAGTACCTAAAAGTATCAAAAGTATTATTATTAATAAAGAAATCATTTTAAGTTAAGTACTCACCTATTAATAGTTGATAAACAGGCAATTCTGAGAAGTTTTTTTTCTTCTTTTTTCCCAGAAGAGAATACTCGGTTAAAACATCATCAATAAACATACGTCCCATAAGTCGTCTCACGCTATCACCAACATCTTTTGTACCCACAAGTAATGATAACTTGGAAACCTAAATAAAATTGAACTAACATTTTTACAGCTGCTTCAACATATAATAGTTTATAAATTTACCATATTTAATCGAAATTGTTTATCAGACTTAATTTTATTGTTAAGTAACTGTAAATCATCTTCATTAGTAATTGGGAAGAAATCGTCTAAACTACATCCATTCTCATACTGCATAGCTATTTCTGTAGCTCTTGATTGTCCAAAGTTATTAATAAATCCTTCTAACACCATATAGCTTGAATTCACAGTTGAATGTATCGCAGCAATTTCATGCTTAACTTTAGTTAAGGAACTGACAACAAAATTTTTGAATGCTAAAAAATAGACAAATTAATTTATAATAATAAGCCGTAGCTGGTGTATAAGTAGAAAAAATTTAAATATTGAAAACATATTTTTATTTGCCAAGAAATTAATATTATTTATAAAAAAATTTAAATGTATGAAAAATACAAGATCAGTTAGACCACAATAGCTATCCACCAACCGATCTACACACTCATAATATAAAAAAAACATGTCGTTATTATAAACACATACATGACGTATATTTGAATATATGCCACTGCCTAGCTACCATTACAATTTACAAATAAAATATGAATGAAGTATTATTATTATAATGATGACTAATTGATACATTCAATATAGAAGATAATTATAATACACACCTGTATCAGTCATGCCACAGTCATATTCTGTATTATATTTAGATGAACGATTTGACCCTATAATTAAGCAAAAAACAAATTAAAAATCATTTAAGAAATACAGATTTAATTTATATTTTACCTTGGGACTCAGCAGTTGGAAATAAAACTCTTTTTAAAGGACGAGTTAATGGTGTAGGGTTTGAACGTCGAGATAATGGTGTAGTGTTTGAATGATGAGATACTGGTGATGCCAAATTAATATATTCAATAAATGGTTGTTTTGGAGGCATAGAAGACATAATAGATGGACTAGTTTCTTCAATCAAAATTTTCCCAATTGGAGAATTCATAACATACTTGTTATTACGATTAGTCATTGCTTGTGATACTGATGGAACTGTTAACAAATAAATATATGTGTACTTGTTTAAAATAATTATTGTAAAATTATACAAATCTGTAAAACTTGTAGTGTAATGTGTGCCACTGCCTAGCTATTATTACAAATAAAATAAGAATTATTGTAATACAAATATATAAATGAGGTCTGATTTTCTGATTCTTAAATATACTTAATTGATACATTCTATACAACATAATAATACACATACCTGCATTAGGCATACCATACAATTCTGTATTATAATTAGATGAATGATAATTTGACCCTAATAAGCAAAAGACAAATTAAAAATCATTTAGGAAATACAGCTTTAATTTAGATTTTACCTTTGGACCCAACAGTTGAAAATAAAACTCTTTTTTTAAGATTTGATGATGGTGTAGTGTTTGAACGTTGAGGTGATGGCAAAGTAATGGATTCAATTAATGGTTGTTTAGGAGGCATAGAAGACATAATGGATAGATTAGTTTCCTCAATCGAAATTTTCCCAATAGGAGAATTCATAACATACTTGTTATTATGATTAGTCATTGTTTGTGATACTGATGGATCTGTTAACAAATAAATATATGTGTACTTGTTTGAAATAAATATTATAATATAAAACACAAATTATATAGAAAAATACAAGGCAAAATATATACATACCATTTACACTTATTGATATATGATAGTCAGGGTCTTTATCAGAATCATGACCATCTTCAATATCTGATTCATCGTCAAAACCACCAGTGTTTTCAACAGTTTTTTTAATCTTTTCTAGAAAATTAAAAAATTAAAATTAGGTAGGTACATACAAAAACATAACATTATTTATTAACTACAAACTAAAGTAAATTTAAATAAAACACCTAGAGATTAGCTAGAAGACTAAACTTAAAAATCAAATTTACTTAGTCTTAAAGAAGGCGGACTTTCCATTTTACTTTTTGATTTTAACAGACGTTGAGCATTTAAATCTTCATTTGCAGACAAATCTGAGTAGAATTGTGCCCGGTTTGTCTTCATCCTTGCTTCTTCTAAAGATCCTAAAATACAAAAAGAAACAAATTTAAGTTTTGGTGGCCACCTTAAAAACATATATTTTTAAAAATATTTGCTATTAATATTTTTACTTACCATACTTTCGACCAAGCATCCTTGCAGGTAACCACTGATAGTTTTTTTCATCTGGATAATCTTTTTTTTCAATGCATTTTTTTGACTTCTTTGATACAATTGGCCAAGCACATGTCTTATCTTTTTTTCGGTACCATGTTTCGGGAACAGCTTCCACTGTGTCCTCATTTAAAAAGTGGACAACAACCCACATTATGATTTTAAGAAATCTAAATTCAATATTTTATTAAGAAATATGAATTACCTCCAAAACATACTTTCTAAATACTAATAATTATATTAAATCAATACATCCTATTTATCTTAATTAGTTATTTAATTTATGTACAATTACATTACATATAAATATTACCTATATAGTGATATTTGAAATTATATATGATTAATAATATATAGGTAGGTACTACACAATATTTCAAATACTTAACAATACAAATTGAAATTAATGATCACTAGGTATATAATATATATGTGTATTATGTATTATAGGTTATAATATACAGAATTCTTAAATAATAATTAATAACATTTACAATTTTATACATAATTGTATTTAATTAAGTATGAATAATTGGCATAGCAATTAAATTATTTTCATGTTCAATTAACATTATTTTTTTTTTTATATCTAAATAGTCCCAACACGACAATTTATTACTAAGGTTTTTTACAATATAAATATCAAAAATTGTAGAATCAACAGGCTTTTTATATAGAGGAATCATTATCTCAAAAGCTTTTCCTACTAATTTGATACTGCCTTGATTGGTTTTAACAAAATTCAAACATTTAACGACTTTTTTATTATTAGTTAATACATAACTCTCTTTAATGACTGAAGTATTAATTTTAAACTTATCAAAAGTTAGTTTTTTGAATTCTAATCCTTTAATTTTATCTATCAATGGTCCACTTTTATGTTGTTTAGACATAACTGGGAATTTTTGTTTTACTACTAGTGAGGCAGGTAGCTTATACATTTCTTCATATCTATTAACCAATTGCTCCAAAGGTTTTTCATGTTTTCGGACTTTACTCTTTAATTCCTTCATATAATTTTCAAATGGAAATGCAGAGGCATTATCAAGAGGACCAAAATGAATATAATCATCAGGGAGATGTAGAAGTCCATGAACATTATGTGAAATATGCTGCCGGCCATAAATATTTTCAAACGTTCTAACAAAATAGTGAAGTAGTTCTTTGGCATAGTTCAAATAACAACTATAATCAGGACTTAACAATATTGTCATTGCCACATGTAATGCCATAAAATTAGTATATGAATTATCAATAATAACATTTTTGAGCACAATAGGCCCGACATACACAATAAAAAATCTCAATTCACTGGCTTTATATCTTCCAACATCCTGTATCAATCTAGTTTTCCGTGGAAAATCAATAGGAATGAATTGTTTAATGTTTAGTAATGAATTACTTAATATGTTTATGTTACGGCCTTGAATACGTGTTTGTACTGGCCCAATATGTAACCAAAGTAAAATAAGTTTTTTGACAACCCCCAGGGCCACAAGATGCATGTAATCAAGAGGAAACATGGTAACAATATCTAAACCTGGAATTTCAATGAGCCTTGATAGGGTATTCCCAATATGGTGTTCTTCGAATGCCTTACTTGCATATGATTCATGAGTTCTTTTAGTAGAAAAATTGCAATATGGATAACAGACACGATTTAGATAATGTTCTCCAACTTGAATACAACGAGTGCAAGATGAAAATCCAGAATGGCCCTTTAATTTTAGTATAAACGCCTTAGCAGGGCTATCACATATAAAAGCACCAAATGATACTTTCTTATTACAATTATTCAAAATAATACCATTGGTAACAAGTTCTTTAGCTTCTGATATAAAAACAACAAGAAAATCATTGCTGTCCTTAGGTTTAGTATAGCCATGGTAAATACCTACAGGAAAAACTGTTTTAGTTGTATCATTACTTATATATGCCAAAATGGGCCACAACTGACTATTGCTACTTTTAGCTATGGGTAATCCATCGATACCAATTATAATTTTAATTTCTGTCATATTAGAGGATGCATGTCGAATTATTCCTGATGCTAGTCCAAAATGGTAATATCGACCAGGTTCAACAATACGAATACTTGATATTAACCGTGGAGTAGCTAACAATGTCCGAGTATCCCAAGGCAGCTCATTGGTATTAATTATTTCCCTTTGTTTCATCAAATACAATAATTTATTTGCAGTGCTTTGGGGAACATTGCACTCAATTATCCATTTACATAAATCATCTTTAATACTACTACAACTTATACTATTAGTACTTTCTTTAGTATAACTAGAAGGTATTTTTATTGAATTATTATTAGACTGATTTGCATTAGATAAATTGCAGTTTTCATTGGCATTGATTTCTACAATATTTGGAACATCATGAAATGAAGAAATGGAAGTTTCCTGTATAGATTGAGAATTTCTTCCTGTGCTAGTTGAAGGGATATAAAGCGAATTGACAAATAGGCTATCTTCTCTTTCGATGAAATCATTGTTATTGTCAGTACATATTTTAATACACTGTAAAGAATCTAACTCTTTTTGAATTTTTCTTCGAACTGATCTCCTGGATTGCATTTTTAAAACCCTGTAATTTTTAACAGTAAAATTCTGAATTTCAACTAATTTTTTAAATCTATAATAAACTAAAGAGCTGATACCTATGATCTGATTGTCTAATGCCTACCATAATAATTTATTTTATAATAACTATTTCTATAGATACCTACCTAGATCTACTATAACAGTAGTAATAATGTTCAATGACTTATATAGTTATATGTACCAGTGTAGACATGTAGTATATACACCTAAATCTTATTTAATAAGATTTAACTAAGGACATACATATCAGGTATACATTATAGAAGTATTTAACAAAAATACATACCTATGTAAATATATAAATGTATATATTAGATACCTACCTATTTAATTTACTTACACCTACGACCTACTTATATCCATGCAGTATGCATGTATTATAATTTACAATATGTATAGCAGTTTATAGGTGATTAAGGTTTAAATAGCTACACAATTGCTACTGTTTAAATAATATTATAATAATAATAACACATAATATTTAAGATAATATATAATATTATAGCAATATTTAACGTACTACACAAATACTTTTAAAATGTTGGAAGTATATAGGTACCTCTACTCCATTAATATAATTTACATCAATAGAAAGAAAAAATTAATTAAATGTCTGAAAATTGAATAAATTACACAGTTTAACTTACAATTGAAAATTGAAATTAAATAATTTAAATATCTGGACT